CAGGTGAGAAGTTTCTTTGGATTTTAATTTATTCTAAAACCTGCTGTTGTTTTACCATTCACTTTCCTTTATAATTAAAAAAAAAAACTTTTGCAGACTATGCATTCTGATTTGATCACACTTTCTATTTTGGTTTTTACTACCAAATGGCTTTCATTATTGGAGATTTAAAAAAAAATCATTTAACATCTGTTGTACAAGGTCTTCATTTTCTTACCCAAAACCTTCCTGGCTTTCTGCGTGTATTTCACTGTGTGGAGGAGTTCAGGGCTCATCGTATGAAGCCTTTCATTTTTCTTCTTAAAAAATATCTTGTGACTCTTGTTGTGGTGATGTTAACTCTGTGGAATGATTCAGAAGAACTTGGGTTCATAATATTCAGAAACAGTGGTCTGTTCTCTGTGCCTTCAGTAGCTATAGCTGTCAATAAACTTCTATGTTTTTTTCCCCCCAAATAGGTCTGGCAGGACTTTTGTTATTTCTAGCCACTCATGATTACGAATGAGATTTTTTTTCTGTTTTTTTTTTCTTTTCAATGACCACTTTTTGATATGCAGGAAAGCTTTTAAAGTTTTGTTCATTTATTTTGGAACAAGTCTCCTCTGGGGAACCGTCTCCTTTTTTCTTTAATCACTTTGTGGAAGATCCCCCCTAGTCTTTATTAAGTCCCTTCCTTCTCTGTCTCTCTTTTTCTAATCAGAAAAGGATGTTGAACATTGCCAGAAGACTTTCCCGAACCTATTGAAATCATATTTCCCCTTTGATCTGGAATTATGGTATATCACATGAGCAATGAATTATAGACATGTTCTTCATATGTCGTCACCCTTCTGTCCCGTGGTCACAGCATGTTGCTCCTTTAATGTACTTCTGGATTTCATCTGTGCACAAGGCTATCTGAATTCTAAACATCTGTTGGTGGTTAGGACCGTCTCCGAGCTCAGCGAGTTTCTCCCTCTGCGGGGCTCCTGCTTCCTCCGCCTTCCTCTCCTGCTGGTTCTCAGCTGTCCCATGAGATGACCTCCCCTGTCACTGCCCACCTCCAGCCAGCTGGGACACAGGGACAGGACTGTAAGTACAAGATGTCATCAGAGATGTGGTCTGGAAAGGCAGGTTGCAGGGTTTCTCCAGGAAGATGCAGATCCCTTTGATTGCCAGGAAGACATTGAGTTGATGTGTGAGACCAACCCCAACCCACTCTGATGCTTGTGTCACGGAGCGGGGTTTGTGTATACCAGTCTCAGAAGGACTTTCCTAGCAGAGTCCTGTCCCTTCTCTGCAGAAGTTGGAAATAATTGCTATAGAGAACTGGGAAGATAGCTCAGTTAGTGAAACATTCGCTGTGCAAGGATGTGGGCCCGAGTTCGGTCCCCAGAATCTTCACAAAAGAGAAAGGTACAGCAAAATACTTGCAATCCCAGGCCTGGAGAGGGGTGACAGGTGGCTTCCAGGGGCTCCCTGCCAGACAGCATAACCTGCTTGGTGAGTTCCAGGGCAGTGAGAAAACCTGTGTCAACAAAAGAAAAGGTGGACAGTGCCCAAGGAACAGCACCTGCGGTTCATCTCTGGCACACGTGCACACACACACACACACACACGCACACACACACACACACACTACAAAAATTATCTTAGTAAAGCTGCTTAATGTCATGCTCAATAATCAGCCTCCCCCTGGAGAAACCCTGCATCTATTTGACTGAATCTGTAGCTGATTTGAGAGATAAAGAACAATCTGGAAAACTTCTATTGTGAAGGGAATGTGGACTTCTGCTTTTGGATATTGGTGTCCAGTGCTCAGTAGCTCCCTCAAGCCCCACAAGATATAGATACGGATTTTTACTATATGTCAAGAATGCTGCTGTGGGATCCACCAAGCCCATGAGGTGCACAGGAAATTGTTGTTTCCACGGGAAGGTCCTTGGGGTTGGGTTGTTCTAAAGAAATGAGGCAGTGATATGCAAAGTCTTTCAAATGGGGAAGGACACAAAGCCAAAGTTGTGCTGGCAGGCCCTGGCCTATGAGCCTCTGATTGCAGGCCTGTTGCAAAGGAGCATTCAGCCAGATGCCCTTGACCTTGATTTCAACTTCTCTGCTTCCCTGAGTCATTCATTCATTCATTCTTTTCATTTATGCATACGTGTGTATGCCTGCTTGTATGTGCATGATATACATACAGTGCCTGAAGAGGCCAAAAGAGGGCATCAGATCTCCTGGAACTGGTGTTATACATAGTTGTGAGCTATCATGTGGGTGCTGGGAACCAAACCTGGGGCCTCTGAAAGATCAGCAAGTGCTCTTAACCACTGAGCCATCTCAGCTGCTGGTCGTTCAGAAGCAGAAGACCCAGGCTTTAAATGTTTTCCCATGTGGGCCTTCACCTGCAGTTTCTCTCTGAGCTCACAGGAGGGAGGGATTCCTGGGAGGCACCTTCCCTTGCTGTAAGCATTGCAAATGCGTCCCCCCCTCAATCAGGACCTAGCAGTTTCTTTTGGATAAGACATCCTAAAACAAAATTTGATGCATTAAAGTGGATGCAATTGCTTTTTGTTGTTGTTGATAATTTTTAAGAAAATATTTTATTATTTTTATTTTATATGTGTGAGTGTATTACTTGCATGAAGGTAGGTGCACCCATGTCGTGCAAAGCCTGTGGAGGTCAGAAGAGGGCATCAGATCCCCTGGAACTGGAGTTATAGCTGGTTGTCAGCTACCATGTGAGTGCTGGGAATTGAACCTGGGTCCTCTGTAAGAGCAGTCAGTCCTTTAACCGCTGAGGCATCTCTCCAGCCCCTGTTGCTGTTTTTGAGCTTCTATCAGTCAGTGTCCAGTTGGACCAGCTACAAATAAACCGTAAGCTGCTTTTAGGGTTAATAATTTGGGCAGTGATTGGTGTTCTGGTGTGAAGTAGCAAGCTGTGATTTCTGGCAGGTTCTCAGCCTGAGTGTCACTAATCTGGGATGCATCCACTGATCGGAGCCACTGCAGCAGCAGATGCATGCCGTGCCCTTTGTAGATAGCAAAACCCTCCAGGGACCAGGGAAGATGATAATTTGCCAGTCTGGGCATTAGTCTCCCAGCAACCTGACCTACAGTGGGGCAAAAAAACCCCACTAGATAGATCCCTTTTCCATGTGATGATGCAGCACAATCCTGTCTGTTCTGCATCTAAAAACTATGACGAAAGGAAGATGCAAGGGTCAGTCAGGCAGCCGCTGGACATGGCTTACAGGAGCTTATGCGTGAAGGTGTTCAGTAAGCATGGGGTTCTTAAGTTTAGAGACCTTATTGTGTTCAAAGAGCACAGGTCCAAATTGTCAAATGCTTTGTAGTTCCCCAAAATGCTAAGTAACCCAATCAAACATCTTTGAAATACAGCATAAATGAAGCAGAATTATTAAAATATCGTGTTTTGCTCTATGGAGGTGGAGCGGACCCAGGGCTGGATTGCTTAATCAAATCCTGGCTTCGTCACTTCATTTAATTTGCTCTTTCTGTACCTTGGTTTCTCAATCTGCTCATTGTAGATGGTAACAGGACTTGCAAAGTTATTTGTATAGTAAATTAATCAACATAAATACAGCAGCATTGTGTAGGGGCTGGGAATGCAGCTCAGTTGGCAGAGTGCTGGCCTAATCTGCATGGAGCCCTGGGTTTGACCCCCCCCAACACCTCATGTCACCTCCCCAGTTCTGGAAGGTAGAGGCAGGAGGTTCAGAGTGCAAGGTCATGCTCAGCTACATAGCGAGTTTGAGGTGCCTGGACTACAAGGTATCTTGCCTCAAAAACAGAGTGGCTAGAGAGACGGCTTAGCAATTAAGAGCACTGGCTGGACCCAGGTTCTGTTCCTTGTACCCATATGGCCACTAATGACCATCCATAACTGTAATTTCACAGGGATCTGATACCATCTTCTGGCCTTCTCAGGCATTGCACAACACAAATGCACTTATATACACACAGGTAAAACACTCATACACCCTAAAATTAAATTAAATTTTAAAAAAAGGTGTACTTTGTATACAGAATGTGTTTTATGTTTTATGGTTTTGGTATTTTTGTAAGTTGGAAATTCTTACTATAATGAGTTGGTTATGGAACACAAAATCAACATTTTTATAATTTATAGAAGGAACTCATACTTCTTACATGATGCTTGGAAAGCAGATGGGCAAGAGTACCAAGATGTGGTGCTAGAAACGGGCATTGTCACTGACAGGTCTATTTTTTGTAGGAGTTGTGATTTACAAAGCAAGACTGTGTTACAAAGATAAGTTTGAGTCTTAATATTTTTCCTTGACATATAAGAATGTTATAGGAAGTCTTTTACTCTCCACTCCTCTCCTTCCTCCCCTCCCCTCCCCTCCCCTTCCCTGCTCATGGCTCTCAGAAATTCTGGTCTGCCTGTGTTGATGCACCATAGGGAAAGCTTCATCCTGTCTTTCTTTGACCAGGGTCTTTCCAAATAGAATTCTGTATTTCTGTCCTTGGTGACAGCCCTCCTCCTTTCCTATGGAAACTTGTTCCTCGGTCCTTCCTAGCTATGAAGTACAGACCTCCTTAAGGCAGCCATTTTGGCTTTTTATATAAGGCTCTTGATAAATACTAACAAACCATCTTCAGACTGTATCAGTTGAACCTGAAAGAGGGGATAAAATATTCCTAGAGAGTTGACATCTTGGGCTTCTCTGTAATCAGTGCGACAACAGAAATGAGGAAAGAGAGTGATTAGAAGATTTGGAGATCAAGATCATTTTAGAGCTGAGAGAGAGAGAGAGAGAGAGAGAGAGAGAGAGAGAACATGCACTTGTGTGTGCATAGGCAAAACTACACTTTGAAGCTAACAGGAATTGAGGATAGCTGGCCCCCAGTCACCCAGCCTTGGTGCCAAATGGACTCTTCTGTCCTGCCTGGACCTAAGCTCCCACTGGAATGGCGTCACAACAGTGTCATCATGCTAGGCAACCAAGTGACAGTAAGACGTGGCTTCTCTCTCCTAGCTACACGGTGGGCACCGTGCAGGAGAACAACGACCAGGTCTGGAAGTTCCAACGCTACTTCCTGGTACAGGAATACTGCAACCGTCTCAACATCCCCTTCCCCTTCGTGGTCTTTGCCTACTTCTACATGGTGGTGAAGAAGTGCTTCAAGTGTTGCTGCAAGGAGAAAAACACGGAATCCTCAGCCTGCTGTGAGTGGCTGCCCCGTGGGTGCTTGGGTTCTGAGCCGGGGCTCTTCAGGGAAGGATGTGTGGTCCACATTGCCACAGCTGGTTCACTGTTTGCATCCTCATGGCTCTAAAGATCAGGCCTCAGGAGGCGTGGGGTGGGAAAGGCTTGCAGAGCTGATGGATAGCCTCATTTGGGGGGAGAACTGGGATAAACTAATAATGAACTAGTGTGTGGTACTAACAGAATTCATGGGTGGTGGGAAACCATAACTTCGAGGGCTTTTTCCCATTGTTTCTGTGAAGTTTATTCTCTTGGGGTCTTCAGTCTGAATTTCAACTGGGTCAACTTTTCAACTGAGTACAGGACTTTTCTGGTTGCTTTTATTAGTCAGTTTTCTGTCACTATATTAAAATGCCTCAGAAATTTAACTTGTAAAAACCAAAGGTTCACTTAGCTCACAGTGCTGGAAGGTGCAGTTCAAGACTGAGTGACTCCTTTGCTTTAGCTGGTGAAGATACCGGATGGCAGTGGCAGAGAGTGTGACAGCTAATCATGAGCCTGGAAGCAGGGAGAGGCTCAGATGTGTCTCATAATCCCCTTTAAGGGCATGCTAGGCCCTGCTTCTCAGAGGTAGTACCACCTTCTGACAATACCACCTTGGTGACCAACCCTTTAACACAGAGACGTTTGGGAGGGCTCATCCAACCCATGGCATTCTACCTCTGGTCCCCAAAGGTTCATGTCTGCCTCACAATGTAAGACACATTGACTTCATCCTTAGAGTCCCTGAAGCCTTAACTACTCCAGTATTGTTAAAACATTTGAGCTCAAAGTGTCATCTAAGACTCCAGGAAACTCAGGTATGAGCATCTGTAAGGATCAGAGAGAAAGTTGCACACTCCCAAGGTACAATGATGGGGTAGGTACGGGCGAACATTCCTATTCTGGAAGATAAGGCTAAGGCTATAGAGAGAAAGCAGCAGCCCACGGCAGACAGAAACCCAGCAGGGCTAACACCAAACCCAAGGACCCCGTGCCTGGCATTTAGGAACCACTGTGGTAGGAAGTGACCTCCTGCCCCTGTCGTTTTGCTGGCTGCAGCTCATAGCACTGTTCTCCAGGGCAGGTTTGCTTGCAGCCTGTTGCCTCCAGCACGCAGCTGGTACTTCTGTCTTCTGGGTCCCCAGAAGCTGCCAAGCCTCTTAATTTCACATTCACATAGATGCCTAGGTTGACTGGTGAGAGCTGCTCCTGGCTTCCTTGAACCATGACTGCGGTGGTATTTGAGTGCCTTGCTGTCTGAACATGGGGGAACATCACGATGCGGGGTAACCTGGAGGTCCTTTCTGAAACAGTTCTTCCCTGGAAATTCTTTGCAGTATATCTGCATTTGTACACCATTTAGCTTATCATGGGTGGTGAGGCCTTTTGGATTCCTGAAGTGTTCTAGTGGTGTGTTTCCTGTGATCCAGGTGCACAGGGCAGTTGCCTTCCTTTCTTATTGATGCTGCCACGCCCTGGTGTGTCCTGAATGCCAGTGGCAAGTAATGGTGCCATGACCTGCGGCACGTGACCCAGCACCTCTTTCGTGATTGGACTTACTTTCCTCTGCATGGATAGTGGGAGAAATGCCAGAGCCGTGTGGGAGAGCCTCTCAGCCCTTGGAAACTGTGCTCCTCAAATCCCGGTGCCCATCTTGAGGGCTGGGGGAAGAGCAGCTGTCACTGGGGGAGGCGTTTAAAACGCACCCTCCCCCGCAGCACTACGGAGAAAGAAATGTCCCTGTCAGGAAGGAGACGTTGGAGCTAGGGCTGGGGAGACAGCTCATTTAGTAATGTACAGGCCGTACAAGTATGAGGACCTGAGTTTGATCCCCACAATCCACTTTGCAAAAGCCAAGCATGGTGCTTATAATCCCATTGCTGGGGAGGCAGAGAGAAGCGGGTCCCTGGGGCCCCGTGGTCGGCCATCTTAGTCTGCATGAGCTCCAGACCAGCAAAAGACCCTGTCCCAACTAAGAAAGGTAGATCAATGGCAGCTGAGGAGTGACATCTGAGGTTGTCCTCTGATCTCTCCATGCGTGCACACACATGTGGAAACACGTGGGCACACACCCATGTGCATATACCACACGCACACACACACACACACACCACAAAGAAAGAGTGGGATCTGTGACAGTCTGGAAAGTGGGAAGTCTGTGCCTGAGGGGCAGCGGATGGACTGGTTTCGCCGCACTGCTTTGCCACGACTGGCTGGACGGTCCGCCCTGTTCACTCCGTCTTCCTGCTGTTTCCAGGTGTTGTGTCCTTTAACAACCGCTCGCGTGTGGTGTGTAGTGCTCTGGACCCCTTGGTATCTGATTAAAGGGACATGAACCGCCACTGGATTCAGGCTTCATGTTGGATGGATCACTCCTGTCTCTTTAATAGAATTCCAAATGTTTTGATGGTCCAAAAGGAAAATAGGAGTTTCATTAGCCTGGACGTGATCATTGATTAACTTGGACATGATCTTTGATTAACCTGGACACGATCATTGGTGGTAATTACAACCAATTTTACATGCCAAGAGCCATCATTTTTGCAGGTTCTTTAGATAAAACTGGAGGCAAAAATACTCTTAAGTCTGATCTCTGGTGTAATCCCTAGAGCTTTGACCGACAGCCTGGCATTCAGACTGTAAATGTACCACCAGATTTTAATGCATGCACAGGAGGAAGACTCTTCCTATTTGACTGTTTAACATCTTTATATTAAGACACTAAATGTCACTCTGGGGATGTCATTAACTGTTACATGTATGTCATTGTCTTTCTTGAAGAAAGTGTTTTGACAATTTGGGTAAGTAGTTGTCTCTTCCCTATTGCTTGCCTTCGAAGACCAAGTGAGGCATCACTCACTAAAGGAGAAGGGCTTTACATTAGGGACAGGAAATGGAAGCTCGGGTCTGGAATCTGAGTGTACTCAAAGACCACATCCAAATACCAGAGGCACTTAGCCACACGCACAGGTCTATCTTTGGTTCTATTTTGAGATCACATCATGGATTAAGTGTCTACAGGATCTGGGAGAAGACCGAGGGGTCCAATAAATGCCTTAGGAAGGTGCACACATTTCTTTTTCCTGAATGGGTACAAAGGAAGACTGAATAATCATAAAGAAAAAAGCAAAGTAATAATGGTGCTGCTGGAAATAAAATGAATACTCAGTGAAGTGGAGGACTGCCCGTCATATTGTCATTCACGTTGGCATGGTGGGCTGGGGGCTCCAGGGAACAAAGGCCCATCTCTCAGGACCTGATGTATACAGCCTGGGATCAGTAGAATCAGGAAACTCAGAGTACAAAGACAGCAACAGAGCATTCCAGCTGCAAGCTGGGGTTCGGAAGGCAGGACAAACACGCATTGTATCTCTCCAACTGATTTAATGATTAAGCACGATAAGATGATAAAAATGGAAACAGATCCACCCATTTAGCCAGGAAATGGGAAGGAGTTTCAGCTCCAGGAAGAAAACAGGTGGGTCAGAAATGCCTAGTATTTGCTTGGACCTGTCTCCCAGGGAGACCCTGGGAGAGATGCTCTCAGCACAGTTGGAGAAGCAGTTTGACCTGCTAATATGCACACACTCCAAACAGTTCTTACTCTGAGGGAGAGACAAAGAAACAGAGTGAAAGAGAGTTCACAGAAGGACAGACACCTTTTCCCCAGTGCTGACAGTGGTGATGGAGAGGAAGCCAGAGCCTGCTTTGCTCATAGGAGACTCCCCAGCCTGCTCAGTCACCATGGTCTGCCCACTTGCAGCCTTGTGGAGAGGGCTTGTTCCGAAAGCCATGGCCTTGTGCCTCCACCTGGACCCTAGCTACCCATCCATTCCCTAAATGCACTTTGCATCTGCCTCCAAATGAGAAAGTCATGGGTTTAATGCTGAAATTGCCCTTCTTTGAAGGAAGAATTCAAGATTTTTCAAGCAATGCTCAGGAAAGCGGAGTTCAAACATTCGTCTTGGTACTTGTTTGGCAAGATCTTCATGTCAGAAAAAGTGTGCTACCTGCTCATTGCATTTTTAGAAAACTTTTTTTTTTTTTTTATGATTTGCCAGGCAATCCGTAGTCATTACAGAACACTTCATGAAAGACACAGAAAAGTACAATTACGGATCAAGGGCACATGTGACCACCATCCAGAGATGTGTTATCAACTGCTAGCATTAACTTTTATGTAAATGTGTATTGATTGGATTGCACTATGCATATGCAGCCATAGTTTAATTGTTCGTTTATTTGATAATACACTGTAAACATGGTCAGTATCCATGAATTTTTAAAAATGTACATTCTAAAAATTTTGAACTATGAAATATTCAAGTGTATGGATGTACCATAATTAATTTAACCAATTCCTTATTGTTAAACATGTTGTTTGGTTTGATTCTTTTTCTTTCTTTCATTTATTTATTTATTTGTTATTTTAATTTCATGCGTATGCATGTATTGGCTGCATGTATGTTAAGTGCACTTGTGCCGTGCACTGCCCACGGAGGTCAGAAGAGGGTGTTGGATTCCCCTGGAACTGGAGTTAGGGGTGGTTGTTAGCCGCCATGTGGGTGCTGGGACCCAAACCCAGATCCTTTGCAAGAGCAGCTGGTGCTTTTAACCACTGAGCCATCTCTCCAGCACCTTTTTTTTAAAAAGAAAGATTAATTAAAAATTTAATTATATATATGTGGGGGTGGTGTACACATGGGTGCAGTGTCTGAGCATAGCGCCTGAGGACAACAGAAGAGGGCATCAGGTCCCCTGGAGCTGGAGGTACAGACAGTTGTGAGCTACCTGACATGGGTGCTTTGAACCGAGCTCAGGTCCTTTGTAAGAGCAGGATGGACTTTCAAACACTGAGTCATCTCTCTGTCCAGCCCCTGGTTTGACTCTTAGTAGCATATGATGTCATGATAAAAATTATATGGGTTCATTTTTGACTACATGAATCGTTTTTACAAAAGAGAAAAATCTCCGTAAAGAATATCACAGCTTTAAATATCTTGTGCCCCTGCAGCCTCCTCACCTCCATCACCTGGAGGTGTAACAACTGCTTCCCATGTTTCTACCAAGACAAATATGGCCGTTATTTTAGTCTGCTAGTTTTCCAGTAGAGTCAGTGAAGATGCTGTTGTCATTTCACTTGGCCTTGCTCTGATCGTCACAGAGGCAGCCATTTTCCTTGGATGTTTGTCACTCTCGTTCTAACTGCTGGCATCCAGGACTGTCACTCCTTTTTTGTGTTGAGTTCTTAGTGCTCTGCTTGGACTTTTACATGTGTTTTAGGTCGAAGGAAAGACATTGGAAACAACTACAAAATGCACTTGAAAAAAATTAGCTAGGAATTTCTGTTTTGTAAAATAATAACCACCATTTGAAAATAAAGATGTATTTGCTGGATGGAATTTACTGAAATCCAGCCACTGGCATGTTACTTCTACCTTTGGTCCCCAATTAATTCTTTTTAAATCTAGGAAGGTATTAGAGTTTGCAAACTCTTGAAAATGGATACTTTTAAATGGTAAATTAAGGGTCAAAATTGTCTAAATCTGTTCCAAGTGGCTGCCTGCACCAACATCTGTGCTTTTCTGTCCCTACAAATTCCTGATGTTTGCTGCCTGTTACATTGACACCACAAATGTAGCTGACCCGATGATGATGATGATGATGATGATGATGATCTATTCTTTTGTTTGGCCTTTATCTGAAAGACTCAGACACCATAAGAAATTGAACCACGAGCCTCTTGGGCACATCTTTGGCCAGTTTTTACAGCATGCCCTTGCTTAGAGGACCGGGAAGCTCTAGAGGGTAGGAATTTTCTCTGAGGGGGATGGAGAGATAACTCAGTGGTTAAGAGCACTGGCTGTTCTTACAGACAACCCAATTTCGGATCCCAGCACCCACATGGCAGCTGACAACCGCCCATAGCTCCAGTTCCAGGGTATCTGACGTTCCCTTCTGTCCTCTGGGCACTGCACGACATGGGTGCACTTACACACATGCATGACATGGGTCCATTTACACACATACATGACATGGGTGCACTTACACACATGCAGGTATAACACTCATACACAAAAATAAATTAATAAATAAATTTTTCAAAACATTTTATTTATTATTTTTATTTTATGTGTATGAGTATATTGCCTGCATGTATGTGAGACCCATGTTGTGCCATGCCCACAGAGGTCAGAAGAGGGCGTCAGATCCCCTGGAACTGGAATTACAAACAGTTGTTAGCCACCATATGGGTGCTGGGAGCCAAACCCAGGTCCTCTGCAAGAGCAGCCAGTGCTCATAACTGCTGAGCCATCTTTTTATTTATTTATTTTTTTAATTTTATGTGTATGAGTGTATTGCCTGCATGTAAGTGAGTGTAGCTGTGTCGTGCTTTGTCACGGAGATCAGAAGAGGGCTTCAGATTCCCCTAGGACTGGAGTTAAGGATGGTTTATAGCTGCCATGTGGGTGCTGGGAATCAAACACGGGTCCTCTGCAAGAGCAGTCAGTGCTCCCAATCGCTGAGCCATCTCTCCAGCCTCATAAATATTTTTTTAAAAAAGAATTTGAGATTCTCGCCAGACAGCCTGTTCAAGGAAAACAACAATGACATCATCAGCTTCTCTCCTCCAAAGACCTTATCCTGGCTTTAGGTTGAGAGTTGAAAAAACAATTAGTATTTTCCACCTGAATGGTTTAGCATTTTCATGCCATCAGAATGGCAAAGGAACACATATCAAATGTGAGAGCCCACATCATTAGTGGGATGATTTGGCTAAGTCGCAAAACACACAAAGTTTGAATTGATCTCTATTTAGAATAAAGATTGCAATTTTAGTTCAGGCAGGCAGCTCGGTTTCCTCATTGTTACAGAGAAATCCATTAATGTTCCATCGCTCTAGTCCTGTCGCTAGCAAGTAATGTTAGATCAGCTGGCATAGGACAAATGTGATTCTCCTAGTTCCAAGTCTCTGAAAATGCCTGGCAGGTGTTGACTCAGGAAGCCAAGGAAATAATGTGACTGTTTTCCTTTTCTCATTATTCAAGGTTCCAGAACCGAGGACAACGAGACTTTGGCGTGGGAGGGTGTCATGAAGGAAAATTACCTTGTCAAGATCAACACGAAAGCCAACGACAACTCAGAGGAGTATGTCAGTCACTCAGTTGTGTGTGGCAAGACACTCTTTGTATATGTAAGCTGGCAGAACAGAGGCCGCTTGCTTGAGCATACTCAACAAGGCCTATTTTCAGTGGATAGACATAGTGCCTCAAAGGTATCACATGGGCAGTTGAAGACGACTGACATTGTTTGACATCTTCACAGGGGAGAAATCACACCCCAGTTCTCCAGATGGTCCTTTAAGGGCATGGGGGCTAAGGGGTGGTTGGAGACCGCAGTGGAAGAGGTGAGCAGGGCTCTTTCTCTTGGGATAGCACGCATATGCTGTGTTCTAGACTCTGAGATCTTGGGTGTAGAAAGGACAGATCTTATGAACCATGGGACAGGTAACCAGAGCCACAGCTGTAGAAATGGGTTCCAGGATGACTCAGAGGCCATGGACAGTTGTATGGGGCCACTGCATGTTTCTCTGTGGTACTGAAATACAGAGATTTGAAGGCGGCCTGTGACAAGCTGTCCTTGGAAAGTCTTGACCATCATATTTAAATTGCATGGGCAATTTATTAATGCCTGTGTCATTCACAAAGTGTCTTTAAACTTCTTGTAGAAATAGGGAGCTAAGTCCATAGGCAGTATACTAGTTGTGCATTACAGAATCTGTGGAAGCCTCTTCTTCCTGTTGGGAAGGCTGGCATTCCTCACTGACAGCTGCCACTCTTCCTGGGAGCTCAGAACATACCTCAAAATGTGCTCTAAACAGTATGGGTAAATATGAGCACAGCTAATCCTTTGTTAGGACCACGTGGCACTGAAGGAAGCTTAGGATGCTTTTTCTTGGGACTGTGTAGATTCTAGACTCTGGGCTCCTGGGTGTGGAGGAAGGACAATCTTATAAGTCACCGTTTTCCACCTCTATGAGCAGACATAGCATTTATTTGCTGACTTTGTAATTGGGGTGAGAAAGGGATTCTACTTTGTTTGGGCAGGCGGAAGAAAATCAGAACGGTCAGTGCAGTTGATCCTTAACTCATTTGAAAATGAAGACAATGTAGAATCTGTATTCGCCCATGGATAGATGAAAACAGAGCCAGAAGCCCTCAGATTTCCTCTCACTCATTTCCTTTTCCAATTTCCTTACAGAATGAGGCATCGATTTAGACAACTGGATACAAAGGTATGGCTCAGAGTATGGGAATGATTTATTTTATATTTAGTATCTTTAAGCTTTCAGCTAGAGGCTGGTATATCTGGTCAGAAAACAAAACAAAACAAAAAGATTCATTGTTAAAAACAGACTAGACATGATTCTGATCTTTCTTCAGTTGTCTTTATGATTTACCTTTATGATTACCTTCCAGCAGGGGGCTGGAGTGGAATTACTTCTTAAGCTCCCAAACCTCATGGGGAACACTTCGAAAGTGACACTTCTGTGGTCTCCTTGGTGGTTAGTTTTAGTTGTCAACTTGACGTGATCTAGAATCACCTAGGAAGAGATTCTCGGTGAGGGATCATCTGGATCAGGTGGGTCTGTGGGCATGTCTATGAGGGATTGTCTTGATGACATCAATTGATGTGGGAAGACCCGGCCCACTGTGGGTGACACTGTTCCCTGGGTTTGGGTCCTGGAGGGTGTAAAAGTGGAGAAAGTGGGCTGAGTGTAGACATGCACGCATTCTTTGTCTCTGGTTGTGGATGTGCTCCGACTAGCTCCCTCAAGCTCCCACCACTGTGACTTTCCAGCTTTGAGACACTGTTACCTGGAACTTGGAGCAGAAATCAACCCTTTCTCCCCTAAATTGCGTTTTGTCAGGGGTATTTTATCACGGCAACAGGAGATGAAACTCAGAGTGTTTCTAAAATCTTTTCTACCTCTGTCTAACCTCAGGCCCCATTCTTATGCTCTCTGCTGTAAAGATGTTTGCAATTGCAGGGAACACCTGTGAGGCTCAGAAGAGCTGTTTTGGAGCTTGTGAGCGTCTGTGTCAGGTTTTGATGACATTCTGATTTGATATTCACAGTATGGAAGGCGCAGAGAAAGTCTGAGCACAAACATGTGCCAGGCGAGTACAGGAACTGGAAACAAGGATCAACCTTTTGACAGCTGATCCATAAATTCTAGATCCCTGGTAGACTGTGAGGCGGTGGTTCCTGGTGTTTTATCGTGGTGATTTGGGGATGAGAAGGACATCTTGGAACCTTGCATGGTGATGCTCATGAAATCCCCTCAGTGTTGGACTGTGACATTTGGACAACATCCCTCTGCTTTATCAGAATCGTCAGTCCTCAGGAACATATCCATAGTAGATTCTCTATAAATATTTATTGACTGAATGATTGATAAACAAAAGGTGCCCCTTGCAGGGCTCTAACAGGAGAACTTATTCATTCATATTCTTATTTATTTCTGTGCAACTTGCCAAGTTTAAAGCACTGAAGCTATGTCTTCATGGACCTCACTTTGTCTTCCTTGAGGTTTATGATTAGAGTGGTGGGCAGTGCTTGGTGCTGAGGGTGTTCCTGTTCCCTCTAGAGAAGCTCTTCTCTCCTTCGAGTTCCACTGTTCTTGGCTGTGGAGCTGCCTGCTCTTTACGTTGGCATTGTCTACTTGGCATAATGGTGCACTATGTGTTGGTGGATGTATGTTTTAGTCTATCATTGGTGGACTCCTGCTGTGCTACAAATGCTTCATGGACATCTTGTTCATGATGTTGTGGGTCAGGAACTCAGGAATGCTGGTGGGATAATTCTACTGTTCCCTGTGGTCTTGGGAGCTGGGTCAGCTGGTCAGTTCAGAATCTGACCCTGCAATGTTCTTCTGGATAGCCTTGCTGACCTAAATGGAATCCCATTGTTTAGGGCTGGTCCATGTGGGTAGGCTTTCCATGACATGGTGGTTTGGGGGAGAGCTCCTTCTTAGAAGCTTCCAGTGCGGTTGAGTGAGACCTGGAATGGGCACAAGGTGTCTTCTACCAATAGGTCCCCAGAGGCACAAGTCAGCCAAGACTCAATGATGTGGCAGTCAGCCCAGGCTCAAGAAGAGTAGTTTCATGCTCTTGATGTGGAAGTGGTCCGTGTGCACAAGGAGGTGGGGGTAGGTAGGGAGGTTTGAAGAGGAAGAACGAACAGGGGCAACCATCTTTGGAGATGCATTATCATCTTTCTCTGTTTCTCTGTTTTTGACTCTCTCTGTTCGTGTCTCTGTCTGTCTGTCTCTCTCTTGCAATCCTCCTCAGATTCCTTAATGCTGGGACTGCAGGCACGCGCCACCACATTCAGCTCCGGTTATGCATGTCATTGTAGCATCTCTGGTCCCAACGTTACCGATTCTGGCATTCGCTGAGGGGCCAGAGACTCCTGTCTCATTACAGTTGAGAATCTGTACATCAGTGATCATGTTGGATGTGTGTTATGAAAATCAGGGAAGAAACAGTGAAGTGTGGGATATTTTTAAGGATGTGAGACTTGAAGGATGCTAAGAGATGCATGAAAGAACAACAGGAAATGGGATTCTAAGATTGGATGTTCATATTAGATACACTTAGTAGAAGCTTCATTACTAGCAATAAATAGTAAAACCTACAAATATATTCACTTTTCTGCATTGCATATTTATATTAAATATAGTGCCCGCTGTTTCTACACATAGGTCACAGAGCACACAATTTTTCCTGAACACCTGTTGTGTGCCAGGCATTGGGCTAAATCTGTGAAAAGAGACGTGGCCTCTGAATTTTATGAATGAACCTTGCATTACATGGTTTGGGCACAGGGGTGTTTTCAAGCTAACTGGTTTAGAAGCACACAGCAGTAGCAATTTTCAGTGCAGCATCTGGATGTGTAGAGCAGACTGCTTGCATCTGCAGTGGAAGGGAACAGCTGTGAGGGCCTTGAGTCAGGAGAAGTGTGGCTGCACCATTAATGGGGTGGAGAGTCTGAACCAGGGGGGGTCATGGAAGTGATGACCTAGGGTGTCACAGAGAATGAAAATTGTAGCTGAAAGCTGTCTCCACTCATGTAAATCATGGGTCTCTGGAGACCTCGGAGAAGTGCTCACTGTCTGTCCCCTTTGTATCCACCTGGCCGTGGAGCTTGTCCCTTCCTGGTTCCCATCAGAAGCCACCTACGCCACGCATTTTGTTGGTTTGCGCAGCTTTGGGGCAGACTGTGGGAAACCCCAGCCACTTTGCACAGCGCCTCCCGCATCCTACAAGCTGCGTTGCTGCCTCCTCTCCTCACAGACTTCTCTCCTTCCCTTTCTAGTCCCCTCTGTGTCCTCTTTCCGAACTGTTCTCGTTGATTAACAAAATCCCCTCGAGGAAATGAAAACATTCTCCATCTCATTATATCAGCAAAGAAAGTTACAGCTAATCCGAGGGCCCTAAGTAGGGGGTCTTACCCTAAGTAGGGGGTCTTACCCTAAGTAGGGGGTCTTACTATGCCATGTTCATTTCAGCAGCTACTAGCCCCATGGTTTCTTTTTCCTGTTTTAAGTTAAAGGAAGAGTTTATTACTAGAAATAAGCCCAACTTCAACAGATTCTTTTTTCCCTTGATTAAGTCATACAGCAAACTGGAAACTATTCTACAGAAATCAGAATCCACCCATGAACTTTTATAAACTATACCAAGGTGGCATGTAGTTTAAAACGAGGCTGTGAATCTTGTGTAATAAGTCTTTGGAACATGCACATATCTAAAATAATTTTGTATACTGTTTATGAAAGGTATATTTTGGGGTTTACTGTTTGTTTGTATATTTGGGGGAGACTGTCCATATCATATTAATAGCTATACTTTTTATTCATATTACATTTTAAAGCAAAACTGTATTAATGGCTTATGATTTTATAATGTAGTATTGCATATATCTGCATACATTTGCATTTGTATGTCTGCCGTCTGCTCTCACTGTAACCTGCTTTGTCTAGGTAAAGACTTGTGACTTGCATTTTAGTACAGCTGATTTTAATTTGTTTCCTAGCTGCTAACCCTAGTAGCAATAAACAGTCTGATAATCTCCTGCCACTCGCTCTGCCTGCCCTCCATGTGCCATATTTGCTGTTTACTGTGCTTGCCTGTTTCATGAAAAAAGGCTTAGAGCAATCACTTAAAAATGGAACATTGGAAAACTTGTCTTAAGATGAGTTCTACTTTCCCCCTTTCTAAGCTTAATGATCTCAAGAGTCTTCTGAAAGAGATTGCTACTAAAGTCAAATAGAGCGACATGAACACTCGAGGGGAAAAATGCAGCTATAACAAGGTGAGTTGTCTGAGGATTTGTTTTCTTTGCTCAGAAGATTTCTGCATTTTAAGATGATTTTAAAATCACGACAGCTTTCTCATTTAGTTTATTTTCATGTGCTAGAGGGGTTGACAGTAATGCATTGTGTCTCCCCAAATCAAATAGTTCAGACTCTAAGGCTGAAGGGTGGTGTCCTTCCTCTCGTTTCCTCCCTGCTGGTGTCCGCAGTGCATTTAGCTTGTGGGCTTTGCAAAGTGCTGCCTGCCTTACAGACATTTCCACGTAAACGGAAACAAGGTCACACTGCTCTAAAACTTGCTATTTTTTTTCATCCCTAATACTCGATCACAGATATTTTTGCAGAAACATGCCTAAAATGTACCTTATCCACGTGATGTCTTATTGTGTAGGTTGCTGTGGATAAGCAAGTATGTGCTGATCACCTCTTTACTAACCAAAAAAGTGCTAGTAAGGCATTGAGGGCTGTTAGCTCATTGCAAAATCAAATGTCATTCAATCAACTGGCAAAACCTTCCTTTGCTCCAGGATCTTGCCATTTGCTTTGATTATGTTTCCCAGAACCTGTCCAATCCTGAGACCACTGTTAAAAATGTTGTTAGGAAAGGGCAGTAGGGGATGGGGGGAGGGATGGGGCAGGAGATGGGGGATAGTGGGGGCCAATAATGGGTGTTTCGTGGGGCTAGAAGTAATTCTAAGGAGTGGAAATGTGATGAAGAACTGCCTTCTTTTTCCTTCCATTAGTACTGACCAAGTGTGCTGAGGGGTCAGGGCTTGATGTGCTGAGGGGTCAGCGCTGTGATGTGCTGAGGGGTCAGTGCTGTGATGTGCTGAGGGGTCAGCGCTCTGATGTGCTGAGGGGTCAGTGCTGTGGTGTGCTGAGGGGTCAGTGCTCTGATGTGCTGAGGGGTCAGCGCTGTGATGTGCTGAGGGGTCAGCGCTCTGATGTGCTGAGGGGTCAGTGCTCTGATGTGCTGAGGGGTCAGCACTGTGATGTGCTGAGGGGTCAGGGCTGCGATGTGCTGAGGGGTCAGGGCTGTGATGTGCTGAGGGGTCAGAGCTGTGGTGTGCTGAGGGGCCTGCACTCTGATGTGCTGAGGGGTCAGCGCTGTGATGTGCTGAGGGATCAGGGCTGTGATGTTCTGGCTCCTTGCACTGACCTCTCACACTGGTCCCTCACACTGACCCCTCACATTGACGTCTCGTGCTGATCCCTCCTGACTCCTCACACTGATGGCCTCTTGTACTAACCTCTGAGTCCTTCCTCTGGTCCCTCATGTGTGTAGTAGGTACTTGAACTGTAGAAGTTTCCTCCATGGAGTGGTCATGCTGCAGGAAAACCTTAGTGCATCAGGCCCATTTCAGTGTTTCTGATACTCATCTGTTCCTTGAGTTCTGACAGTCACAGATCTTATCTACGTACCCTCTGTATGGAAGCTTACACCGGATGCCGTGTAAGTCGGAAAGCTGAGTACCACTTATAATAAACTGTAGCTTGAACTTTGAGATACTTGCAGTTTTTCTTTATTCATGAGCAGACAGAAAAACAGGGACAGACAAAACAGTGCAAATGATTTAAAGTCTAAATGTGGCTAAAGAATTGTAATAATCAGAATAAGGTTCCAGTGCAGACCGGTACATCTGCCTTGGGAAGCTCGGACTCTGTCTGCCCTTCTCTTTCAAGTGTTTGAGTGTGAGTGCAGTGAGTGAGCAGATGGGCCTCCTTCCTGGCCCCCTGGCCTTTGACCGGCTTTGACCTTTGTTATTGATACTGAGACTTAATGAACCAGTGAGCAGAAATGACTTGGAAGGATGTGACTTCACTTTGTGTGTGCTGGTGTATATGCGCAGTGTGTGTGTGTGTGTGTGTGGTGTGTGCACTGGGTGCTGGTGTGTGTGTGTGTGTACAGTCTGTGCACTGGCATGTGTACACATGTATGCAAAAGAAAGACAACAAAAAAGCATCTAAGAAAACGGGTGTCAAAGCCAGGTATGGTGGCCATGCTCGTACCCAGCACTGCGGACGTGGAGACAGCTGGTTCTCTGGGGCTCCTTGGCCAGCTAGCCTAGCCGTAGGGAGTCTTAGGCCAGTGAGAGACCCTGTCTCAAACAAAAGGTGGACAATGGGCTAGAAAGATGGCCCAGTGGTTAGGAGTATTGGCTGCTCTTGCAGAAGACCTGGGTTTAAATCCCAGCACCCACATGGCGGCTAACAACTGTCCATAACTTCAGTTCCAGGCGATCTGATATCCTCTTCTGTCCTCCATGGGCATTGCACAACATGAACACACTTACATACGTGGAAGTGTAATACTCGTACACATAAAATAAAAGTAAATAAATAAATAATGTTTAAAAGGTGGACAGCATTTGAGGAACAATACCTGAAGTTGTTCTCTGACTTACACATGCATGTGCACACACTTGCATGGTCACCTGCATGCACAAATACACACACACACAGACACACAGACATAGACACGCACACACACATACACACACATAGAGAAAACAAGTGTCCTATGAATTTTCAAACAGTGATACCTTTAGAAACAACGAATTTGTCAATTCCCATTTTTGTGTATACTCCCAAGATCTTTCTTGACATCTTCATATCCTTAAGAAATTCACTGAAAATTCAGTTTCCTAGGCACCAGCATTTTTAGTCTTCTGATGTCTTGTAATGCTTCTTTCTCTAGATGGCTCAGTGATCGTTTTCCTCTGGGGTGGCGTCAAAGGGCAAAGATGTTCAACCTCCAGTGGGTGTGAACTTCCACAGTCCAGGTAGCAGCTTGTGGTCCAGTCACTTGAAAAGGACTAAACAGATGACCGTGCGTGCGTGTGTGGGCAGCCTTCCCCAGCATGGCCAGGGAGGAAGGTCCTTGGAGATGGCTGGTTTCCTAGCAAGTGGTCTCCTGGTTCTGTTGTGCTTTCTAAAGGAGAAAGTATCTGTAGACGATCTTTTGGAAGTCATCTGAAAACTGCATTTTGATAAATTGTTCCAATTTTCAATTTGATCATCTACTCACTTTTAATTTTTGTGGAAATCGCTGATTGGCTTGTTGGCTTTCTGGGTCTTACCCTAGTTTGAATGACTTGGGCCTTGCTTGGTGAACCTCACACAGCTCCTCACTGACAGACTTTTGGAGAAACAGTCACAATCACAAGATAATCTCAGCTTTCCATTGCACACTCGGATGCTGTCTCAGTATATTTTGAAACAAGGCAGGCTGCCTGAGCAGAGGTGTGAAGTCTATTCTGAACATACCATTTTTTCTTTGTTTTCACAGGTAAAATCAGCCATCTGGATTGGGAGGCTCAAGGAACGCTGGTGAACAGTTCTGCTATTGACTTCTAAAGGAGAATTTTTGGGGTCCGTGGGTTTATGGCAGATGACTTGTAGTCACCCTAGTGGGTGGAAATCTGGGAACCAGGTGTATGACCAAATTTGTGGAGGAGCATAAAGGCTCAGGAGTTCCTCTTCCGGGGTCCCTGATGCTCTCTGCCTCAGAACCTTGTGCTGGTGTTGAGTGTTCAAGTGCTCACGTGTCTTCTTTTTCCTTTGACTCGTGGGTCTGGTAGGAGAATCTCATGACAATGAACCTGCTCTTGATTTCACTTCTATATTGTTAGTTTGTTTCCAATTAATGGTCTACTTTCCCCCTTTTTGTGTTGCATGACAAATTCACTGACATTATTACAATCTCCCCACCTACCCCCCCAAAATCAATAGAATCTAAAACGTACTAAGCAACAGGATTCTGCTCTTTCCATGAGAACTTCTTTGTCTCTTCATGCTCCAACCTGTGGAGGGAGGAGCTCAAGTACCGACTTTGTGTCTGTGCCTCACCAGGACGCCTGCTGGAGGGATCACCCATTCCTAACACTGTGAAAACCCTCCCAGAATGCAACCTTGGGAGGCACCGCTCCTGCGTTTTGCCTGCACTGGGTGCTCCCCTCCTCCATTCTCATCCCCCCCACCCCCATTCTAAGCAACGAATGGATACAGAGAATTAGACCTCATGAACGCACAGAAACAGCATCCCACTTCCTGGAATAATCATTGCGCACATTTCTGTGTGTTCGTCTAAGTCTAGGTTTTTCCTCTGCGCCGTTCAATTCCCCTTTAAAATGTGCATAATGTCATCATGTGCATAGACAATTTTGTATATAGGTCTTTTCACTATTTTATCAGACATGTTTTCTTCATATTCACAGTCTTCATAAACATTACATCAGTAGTTTCATAATATTCAAACCTCTAGAGGTTTCCGTGAGGCAGGTCACTGACGGCTGACTCCAACTGGCCGTGGATTCGAACATGTTTGTGCATGAGTCTTCTTTCTGTATTACGAAAGATCTCAGGTCTAGAAGCCTAGATTCCTTGGGATAGCTATTGATTATCAAACCACTTACAAGGTTTTCTCATAAGCATATAGCAAATAGCAATTAACTGTGCATAAGATACAAGATGTGTGATGCTCTATTAAAATATGATATTGTATTTAACCCTTAGTTTAGGAAGAAGCCAGTGTGCTTATTTAAATGTTGTGGCCTGGGAAGGCATTGGGATAGAGTTGGAGTGACTGTTTCGTTGAACACCCTCATCCTAGCCTTCTCTAGTGGTATGTGCACTCAGGAGGCAATGCTGGGTGTGCATAAGGCAGTTTTAGGACTCATAGTTAGTTTCTCAGCTTCCAATAGACTGTCAACTCAGTGGCTGAAGAAGGCGCCCTTAGAAGGAAGCTATTTAATATTTCACTAGAATTCCAGACACGTTAACTTAAACAAGTTGATTTTCATTGTGTCTGGCTATTCACATCATGATGTTTGCAGGAATGAGTGAATGAAAGGTGCCAGCTGACTTCAACCCATCATGGCCTTAGAAGGACCTTTATCTCAATAGGGTCCATGGATCTGATTCAGGATTTCAGATGCTGACGAAAGTTGTTGATGAATGGAGACCTGAACACGTCTCTGTTAGTGAGAGCACAACACTTCCATTTCTCCCTGACCTGGTGTTTCTGATGCCACTGGGAAGAATAGAGTGGCCTCTCCATGTGGATTTGCAAAAATAAAGTCTATGGCATTTACAGGGCTGTGCAGAGATAACCAGTCCCAACTGCTTACCTTCAGTTGAGGCGGGGAATGGAATCCAGTAAGTTGAATGCAAAACTGCATGGAAGACTGAATCTAGCATAACCCGTTTGATGAATTTGCTTCATCTCCTCTGCTGCTTCTTGGCTTAAGAAAAAGGCCCATGCACACATTTGTAACAGCACAAGATAGACTCTTACCAACCATAAAGAGAAGATTTGTACAATGCTCAGTTTTTTCATATTTGGTGGGAAACTGTTAAGGTTTTCCTAGGGAGTTCCTCTGCAGGACCTACATTTGTGTGAAGTCATTATTTCTAGTGTAGCTCATGAAAACAGTGTACGTACTGAATACTTGAATCAAAGGTGCTACATCCTTGGGTCTGGTACTAACAAGTCTAGAGATTCGTGCACAACTACAGTGAATCCTGCAGTGTGGCTTTAATGAGTATGTTAGAGAATTAAACTACAGAGGAACTGTTGTGGGCGCTTACATCATTCTACTGAGAGTAAAAAAAATAAAAAGTCCTTTGCCGAGTCAGCGTCTTTTTGGAAGGGATTTGGTTCCCAGTTACATGGCTGGCATCGCCGATTGAACTGGAACACTCTGGTTGAACGTAAGCTGGAGAAAGCACCCTAGGGTTGCGTGTGGCACTGAAGCTTTGGATCCTGAGTGCCATTGTTTGGTAGGTTTGGTTTGCTTAGGCACCCATCTGTGACTTAAGGACCTCAGGCTTCACTGACCCAGAAGCACCTCAGTGTGGTACCACTTGTTTCTGAGGTTGCATGGGGTTTTAGAAATGGACTCATGAGCAGGCATACAGATTACCCTGGGCCAACATGGATGCCTGTCATCCACAAACACGCTCCACAATGGAGCCTCCTCTGCCCAGTGTGGGACCCGAGTAGCTGCTCCTGTGTTCCAGACCCCTTCTGCTGCAAAGACATAATTGTTACAGGAGGAGTCAGGAAAAGTACACCTTCCCCCACCTGCTTCTTTGTGGTCCAGGGGAGAGCGAGCATGTGGTTGTCATGGAGACAGTTGCTGCCTACAGTCTGTCTCAAAAACAAACTGCTAAAAAGTCAGGCCCTGGGTCTGTGCTGGAGCTGGGCACTGGAGACAATCCTCCCACGCTCCTTTAGCTCTGCTTGGGGCATGGGGAGACTGGCTTTTATGCTCCTGCAGACAAAAAAAGAAAAAGGAGTAAAAGCAACATTTGGTGGTGCCTCATTTGTCTATCAGACCTGAGCAGGCGTTTCTGAAGCACGGCTCACTGGGGTCCCCTGGGCTACGGGACTAAGCACGTACACCGTCAGCATCAGTTTGTTTAATCAGTTTGTATTGTCCCCTACAGCAGTCTTGTTTGTCAAGAAAATTTCTCCATACATGCACGTGTTGTTTGGAGTGTCTCCTGTGAACACTACATTGGAAAGAAAATGCCTCAAAATAATGGAGAGACATTGGCAGGCTGCACCTTCCACTGGTTCGTAATCCACTCAAGTAGCAGATGAATCGAAGAAACAGCTGACACCAGAAGGGGAAACACCCAGTGTAGGGGTGGGTTCAAACAGAGGGACTGAGGAGTGCAGGGGGGGGTTCAAACAGAGGGACTGAGGAGTGCAGGGGTGGGTTCAAACAGAGGGACTGAGAATCAGGGTGGAAGGGTGAGAGGAGTCCTAGGACACATGCAGCCTCCCTGGAGCAATGCAGTAGAGACAGGCTGCCTCCTCCGGAGACCATCTGGTGTGTGCAGTGTAGGAACGTCCTGAGCCCTGAGGAATAATGCCCTGAGGAGCAGGACACATGTGACTGAGGTCAGTCACTGCCGGGCCAGGGCTGGGCTATATGGGGTAGAACACTTGCCTAGTATGCATGAGGTCCTGGGTCTGATTCCTTGCACTGTATTCACACTTGCAAGGGACTGAGGAGTGTAGGGGTGTGTTCAAACAGAGGGACTGAGGAGGGTAGGGGTGGGTTCAAACAGAGGGACTGAGAATCAGGGTGGAAGGGTGAGAGGAGTCCTAGGACACATGCAGCCTCCCTGGAGCAATGCAGTAGAGACAGGCTGCCTCCTCCGGAGACCATCTGGTGTGTGCAGTGTAGGAACGTCCTGAGCCCTGAGGAATAATGCCCTGAGGAGCAGGACACATGTGACTGAGGTCAGTCACTGCCGGGCCAGGGCTGGGCTATATGGGGTAGAACACTTGCCTAGTATGCATGAGGTCCTGGGTCTGATTCCTTGCACTGTATTCACACTTGCATACATACACACACACACACACACACACACACACACACACACACACACATGCACAAGAGTACCCTGGGCCCACCAACACGATGTCTATCATCCACAAACCTACTCTCCGATGGGGCCTCCCCTGCCCAGTGAAGAACCTGAGTTGCTGCTGGGGCCTCCTGTGTTCCTGAGTCCTTCTGCTCCAAGGGCACATTTGTTCCAGGAAGAATCAGGGAATCGTGTACAGTCTAAAGAAGTCAGTCTCTAGACTGACAGTCTTCTAGAACATGGGTCACATTATGCTAGGCCGTGAGCTCCTGTGGCTTCCCATCACTGGATCGCGCTGTGTCCTTCAGACCGGTTTCTCCATCGGAGTTCCTACCTCTCCTATGGATCCTCAACATGCTGAGAGAATCTTCCTGAGACTCAGGGTGGAGTCTCCCTTCTCAGCTCTCAAGCCATCAGTGGCTCCCGGTTGACTGTCCTGCCCAGCATGCTAACACAGGGTGTCAGGGTCTTGGTAGCCTGGCCTTTCTTACCTCTACAGGCTTGTTGTGTGACGCTGCCTGCCTCCCTCCGCTGCTTTGGAGCAGCTGTCTCTGTGTACATGCCATACCAGTTGCCCCAGGGCTCTCTTTCTCTGTGCTGAGTGGCCTGTTCTCCTAACAGGAGCTGACTACTGGCCACCTGACACTCCCTCCCTTGGGATGACCCAACTGCTCCCATTGACGGCCCTCCTTGTGTTTTTCCCCCCTTCTTTGATTCATGCCTCAGTAGAAGACTGTGTAGTGACATCACCCAGTGATGGAACAAGTTGGCTTCGCTGTCTGGGGGCTTCTGTGACTTTGAGAAGATCATTCAAGCAGCATGGCTTGATTTGCTCATCTCTGAAATGGCCTCCTTTCCTCAGAGGGTCGAGAGGATTCAGTGGGGTCACTGAGCCTGGCATTTTGTCATGGCTCAGTGAATCTCAGTGCTCCTTACTATCATCGCTCTCAACTGTTCCCCTGGCCTTAAGTCTCTTCTTCTCTTTTTTCTAATGCTAATGTCAGAGCATGACTTTAGAGCTACCTCTTCCAGGCAGATCACCTTGGGCAACCTCTGCTCCCAGAGCAGCCTTGGGCATCTCTGTCCTGCGTGACCTCCCTGGCTTCTCCATTCGCAGCACCTGCAGGTCACCTAGTACTAGATAAGAACTTCTCTTAGCTACAGGCTTTGCCCAGCTCCTCATCACCTTGCAGACCATAACCTACTCCTGGTCCAGTGTCAAGGTTGGGAAGCTGTGATTATTGGTCCATAGTCTACTTAGAACACTCCCTGGCTGGGCTGTGGGGGTTTTTGATGGAAGAGACATTGTCCAGCTGGTTTGCCTCATTCATTCTGCATGGACACTGTCTGGTCTGCTGCAGGTGCCCAATGAGGATTCTGTGGTTAAATGGCCCTGCGATGGTGAATCTTGGTTGTCAACTTGGCACATCTGGGAAAAGGGAACCTCAGTTGGGGAATTTCCTCCATCATACTGGCCTGGGGGCATGCCTGTGAAGAATCGTCCTGTTTCTGATAGATGTAGAAAGGCTCATCCCACTGTGGTCAGTGCCACCCCTGGGCGGGTGGGTCTGGGCTGCATAGGACAGGGTTGAGTATGAGCCAGATGGAGCAAGCCAGTGCATAGTGTTCCTCTGTGGTTTCTGCGTCAGTTCCTGCCTTGAGTACCTGCCCCGAAGTCCCTCAAGGATGAACTGTGACCTGGTGGTATAACATGAAATAAACCCTTTCCTCCCCTAAGTCCTTTTGGTCTTGGTGTTCACTGCAGCAACAGAGAAACCAAAGGAGGAGAGGCTCCGCTCTTCGCTGTTCTTCAACATGTCCCAAGATGTCCTCAGGCCCCTTCTGAGTCCCTTTTCTCTTCTCCCTGGTTGGAATATTGCTCACACCTAAGTACCACCCTGTTTCCTTGCATCCCCAGGCCACCAGTCCTTCCCCATGTAAGGACGAAACCCTGTCTCTTTATTTGATGACTGTCCTTGTAGCCTGTCTGTGAGGAATTATGGTCACTGTGGAGGATCTTGAAATAGAGTTCTCCAGAGAAACAGAACTAATAGACGGTGTACACGGAATTTATTAGGAGACAAGTTCCACAATCCGCCATCCGTCCATCAGTGGTGGTGGTAGTGGTGGTAAATTCTAACCCGTCTTTTTTTCCTTCCTTCCTTCCTTCCTTCCTTCCTTCCTTCCTTCCTTCCTTCCTTCCTTCCTTCCTTCCTTCCTTCCTTCCTTCCTTCCTTCCTTCCTTCCTTCCTTCCTTCCTTCCTTCCTTCCTTCCTTCCTTCCTTCCTTCCTTCCTTCCTTCCTTCCTTCCTTCCTTCCTTCCTTCCTTCCTTCCTTCCTTCCTTCCTTCCTTCCTTCCTTCCTTCCTTCCTTCCTTCCTTCCTTCCTTCCTTCCTTCCTTCCTTCCTTCCTTCCTTCCTTCCTTCCCATATGTGAGTACTGTATTTACATCACTTTCATCTGTCCCTCTTCCTCCAGCTCATCCCATGTTCCTCTCTCAATTGCATGGCCTCTTCTTTGATTATTATCACACACACACACACACACACACACACACACACACACACACACACACGCTACTGAGTCCGTTTAGTGATGCTTATATGTATATGTGTTTAGCACTGATCACTTGGGAGTAGATAACCTATCAAGGCACTTGTCCCTAGAGAAAATTGATCCTCCCTCTCTCAGCAGCCATTGATTGCCTTAGCTCTTCATCTAGAAGCGAGACCTTGTGAAATTTCCCCCATCCATACTGGCATGTCAATGGTATTGTCAAGAGGAAACAGTTTTCCACACAGCTGGTTAGTTACTCATATGAACTTACAGCAGTGGTGATAGTGTGCACAGTTCCATGCAAGCTCAAACCAGACAAAATCCCAGCATCGATGTGGAGAGTCAGGTAAGAAATCCCAAACCTACCTAAGGAACGACTGACGACTGATGGTGGCTAGGAGGAGGAGAGCCAGTCTCTTTCAAGGATGTGACCTTTGGTAGGTTAACCAGGCTCCAGCAGATGGACCCACGCTGAAGGACATTCGGGGACCCCAATTAGACTCCATGGGCCTTAATACATACACATATATACACATATTGTGTTGGGGACAGTGAGGGAAGGAACACCATCAAATCGCATTGTATGAAATTTCACAAATTCAATAAAACAAGAACCAGGACCGAGAATGACCCAAGTCCCAGTCCAAGGCTCAGAGAAGGTTGATGTTGCCGCTCACCAGAGAG